AAGACTGTCAGATTCATTGTTCCCAGGCTGTATACAACTAGGAATCCACAAACGCCTGCCAGTTTGCCTCACTATCCACTTGCTGGCAATGATCGGGCAGCCAACTGGTGGGCTGTCTGCAACCTATTTGTGTGTATTCACAGCAACGTGTGCCACTTGCTGCCATCAAAAGCCAGCTCCCAACAGATGAAAGATCATCTGGGAGTCGGTCTCTGATACCCGGCTGATAACATTTTGCTATGCTCCCAAGAAAGTTTATTTGGGGGAGTCAGGAGACGACTCCCAGGTAATCAGCTGGAACTAAGGCTCTTCTGATCTCCCATCCTAGAAACTTTGCTGCCTTCCAGACTTGCTGAGATATAGCATGTTATGCAGGTGGTGGTGGGGGGAGATTTACCATCTCTTCCTCGGCCCCGTGCTGTGGACTTGGGCTACAGAAAAAGGAGAAAAATGAGCTCTTTCTTCCCTCCATTTTCCAAAAAGGAGCTCACAAGCATGTTCTGTCCCCAAACAGCTTGGAGGGGCAGGGAGAGAAATGAGCGGGTTCTCCTGTCTCTTTTGTAATGCACAGATTAAAAGCACTGGATCTGTCTCTGCCCAGCTTGGAATGAAGGGGCAGAGAAACAATCTCTTTCTGTGCAGCTATGACTTCCAGCTGAACCCCAGATAAAATGTAAGTCGGCTCCTGACCAACAGACAGATACAAACTTGTTCAACAGCTACCTGAGTTGCTCAGAGCAATCCAAACGTACCCCAAGTGGCTCACAGTCTGATCATGAGTGACAAATAGGGTAAGTCTGACTGCTGAACAAGTATGCTGAGAAATCTGTAGTATCCCCCCCTATATACAACATATAGCTACATATCATGGGCTCCTAGGTTTCTGATAACTTCCATTTTTGTGTCTCTGGGCAGGAAGCAGAAATAGAGGCTTTACAAATTCCCTGGTGCACGGCAACAGAATCATCAGGCGTGCTACAGATGGCAAAAGAAATGGAGAGTTTGGCATTATCTCCTAGCCTCAGGGCTGGCAACAATCATTTACATTTACCCCAATTCACACATGGAAACTGAACATTCGGGACGGCAACCTGCTTGTGATTATTCACACGACCTTCAATTCTTAAATGAAGTTTAAGAACATTTCAAAATTTAATCAGAATTTCAGAACCTGACCTCAGGTACTGAAGATTTTGCAATTTTGAGGTGCTTTAGCCGTCGATCAATCTGAATGGCTTCATTTTTGTCAGGTACTTGACATTTGATGTGTGGTACAGGCAAGCAGGTGGGGTGGGGAGGGAGCAAAGAAAATGAAGTTACCATCGAGTCACGACTGACTCATGACAACCCCATCCATGGGGCATTCCGGGCCAGAGAGGCACAGAGGTGGTGTGCCATTGCCTTCCTCCATACAGCAACCCCAATCTTCCTTGATGGTCTTCCGTCTAAGTACAACCATGACTAACCCTGCTTAGCTAAGGGTTGGGCTTGGGCTAAGCCCTGCTTAGCTAAGGGTTGAGCTTGGGCTAAGCCAGGCTGTGGGGGAACCAAAAGGAATGAGAAATTCCATTTTTCCCTCCTCAACACCAGCCTGCCTGCCTTTGACTGGCCCACTGCTGGCTCAGACCCCAACCCCCAATTGTATCTGTGCGGTGGCATACACTGTGCGGTGGCACAGTGGGTATATCCCACTGTCTTAACATCTGAACTGTGTTAGTTCAAGCCCCGCGCTGGTGTGAGCAGCCAGCCTGCTGTCCCCAGCTCATCGTCCACCCAGCAATTCGAAAGCTTCGGCGAGTAGATAAAATGGGAACCACTCCTTAGAGAGGGTGGGCACGCCAATCTCCCTTGTGGGAGGGCGTTAGCTGACGGTCGGACGTCCTGGTCGAGGCTTGTAAGGCAAAACAGCTTCTCGGCTACGAAAAGAACTCCTGTAATGGATGTTCCGGCCAGGTGGTGGCGGTGTGGCGATCGACATACGGGTCCTGAAGCCTGGCCAGCAAGCAGCCGTGCGGGAAAATGATGGAGCCAGCCAGAAGACGTCTACACCGGGCAGTGACGGTGCGTGCAATTAAATGAATATATGTTGTCTTCCCTATCCCCTACAAACATTGTTAGTCCCTTGTCTATATTGAGTAACTGTACATCGCTTTGAGCCCACTGGGGAAAGCGATTAATAAATGGAAAGTATTATTATTATTATTTATAGCTTATGCCTCAACATTCGGCCTTCCGTGCCCAGCACTTCTCCAGTTCTAGCCTTTTCCCTTCACTGTCTTTGCTTCCCTGCTTCCTAGCTGCTCTTCTAATAGCTTGGGCCCCCATCTCCCATTACAGTGGGAGGGTAATATGGGCAAAGGGAGGCAAACACTATTTTCATCAAATAACAAATGAAGAAGTCAGATTTTCAGTACTGATGAGTACTGGATGTTCCTAAGTATAGGCTAAATAGCCAACCTCTCTATTTTAAACGGAAAATCGTTTTCAGATTTGACAGGAGAAATCTGGAATTAGAATGCACGCCTCCGTCCAACACGCTGCCCACTGAATAAAAGCATATACAATTCCATCTGTATTTATACATTACATAACCGGGGGGGAAATTAAAAAAAACCAATAGCAGGACAAAAATACTATCACCACACAAAAACTTTCCGCTAGATTAACAAAAGAAATACCAACCGTGAATGTATTTGACTACATTGACACTAAGGCCGTGACGTGATATGGTCATGAGTACTTCCCCTGCGCTTTTTCTCCAAGGCAGGTTATAGGGAGGGCACCAGGAGGTTATTGCACTGAATAGAAGCTGTAGGTCGTCCTTCTGAGCAAGCTCTTCCGCTGGGGACACAAAGCTGCACAATTTCACCAAGATCTGAAAGCAAAAAGCCACGGCATTCACTAAAAGTTCACACAGATCCCTGCCCCGAGAATTCTACTGACTGGCATCCTCGTCTAAACCAGTTATAAAAGAAGGGTGAGCTATAAATCCTAATGAGCAGTTACAGATGCTTCCCTCCTCAGTCAGGAGCTTATTTCAACGTAGGGGTATTATTCTTTTTAAAAAACCAGAAGGATAGATGTATCTGTTCCCAGGTACCTATCCATCGTCTATTTTGAGAAGTGCAACATCATCTGAAAGTTACGTTTAACGTGTGAATGGCCATTTGAGCTGTATTTTTCCATTGGGCTGCTGACTGAATTATACTGTCACATATTCACCCATTTATTGTATTGTGTCCTGGTCCGTCCTTGTAGTATGGTACTTGCTGATATCTTTGAACCGTTGTGTTCTGTACTAAATCTTTTTTACTTTTAACTAAATGGGGGGGGGGTTTAAATTGTACCTCTAGTGTGCCTATGTTCCTGTTTTTCTGCTGTGGGGGAGGTCAGCCTCTCTTGTTTCCAAGAGTTTTATTTGTTTGTTCATTTGTTTATGGGATTTACAGCACACCCTCCCCTGTACAGCAGGGCTCAGAGCAGATAACAACATTCATAAAACAATATCAATAAAATTAAATATTATTTTTTTTACAATAATACCAATAACTGACCAAATGGCACATAGAGAGCACAACTTAATGCCCCGCCCATCCCGGGGAGAGGGTAAAACATCCCACAGTTAGTCAGATGAGACAAGGTCATTCTAGCATATTCTCAGCTCCCCCTATCCCTACCCCGGTCCTTCGGGAAAGAAACCGCATTTGGAAACGCAGCTCTCATGGCTGCATGCTGTTACCTGCACAAACACTTTCTGCAGTAGTGCTCTCCGCTCAGCTAGAGGCAGCTCATTCTGGGCTCCTCCGGCTGCCTCAGGCACATGTGGAAGGTCGAAAAACAGATAGAGACATTTCACAAGCGTGGAAGGCACCGACATAGTCGTCATGCAGTCCACTGTTTTCTGAGGGGGGGGGGGGGGAGATAGAAAGAGCAGAGACAGAATTTAATGCTATATTTAATGCAATTGGTCCTGAACTGGTTAGAAGAAGAATACCTGTTATATGCCGAAGCCACAGAGTTCACTTACTTACCTGTTACTCTGAAGGCACTTTACACACAGAGACAAGAACATGCTAATTGCCTCAAAAGTTTTATATAGTCTATAAATAATTCATAAACCACGGCTTGGATGCAATGATGTGCAAGTGGAAACGTAAACGGACTTAGCACAGTTCTGCTTGCACAAGATCTTGTGCAACATATAGCGTTTCCCTGTCTATTATAGCACACTAAAATTGGATGCATAAGATCTTGAGAAGTGGGAGAATAACAATAAGGCTGACTTTGTGCAAGAGACTACTGTGGTCTTTTTCTTACATTTCTGCTCGTGTGAGAGCTCTAGGACAAATAATTTTTTTTGCACTGGATCCAACACCATACATATTCCAAAAGAATCCAGTGCCTCCCAATCCACTATAGCATCATACTAAAAAAAATCAGAGCAAAAGAACAGCCTATTTTTACTTTTTAGGATTTGGCATGACATCTCAGAATCTTAAGAGTTTTCCCTCGCCTGCCTACCTCCCTGGCCCATCCCCCCACCAGAACTGCCCTATCTTCTACACAATGAAGCCCTTATCCATGTTCTGATCATCTCTCATCTGGACTTCAACCTCTACTCTCACAAGAGCTGTCTTGGTCTTTCTACTGATTCCTGTACATCTCACATAGTCCCAGACAGCAATTATAAAAACATTCACATTTTTAACACCACTTAGTAGCAAGTTCTAAACTGTACAGCATGAGAAGGCTGCAACGGAATAAGAGCAGGAGAATAGTATGAACATGAAATCTACTTTAATTAGGACAGCTTGCTACATGAATTAATGGCTCTCGACATTTAAACGGGATTACTTTTATTTTAAAATGGAATAAGATATATCAGTAGTAACTCCAACGACTCATCATCCTACCCACTTGCAGATAGATTGCTGAAGTAAGCTCAAGACAATTTATTAACTAGTCTCATTAGGACCTATTCATACATAAAGGGAAGGATGGGCCTCGGTTTGCAAGACTTGAGCAAGACTGTTAACAATAGGGTGTTTTGGAGGCCATTAAATCATAGGACCGCCATAAGTTGGAATCGACTTAACAGTACTTAACACACACACACAAAGGGATGCACAGAACAAAGTGTATGAACCTCGAAGAAGCAAATAAAGCAGAAGTTAATTAACTTGGATTACTGACTAAATGGCAGAGAAGAAAAATACATTTTAATAACCTTTATTTCTCCTTCCATAAGAACACACTTCGATGATATTCGCACTCCTTAATATCAGATATCTTCTAAGAGAAAGTTTACCTGTCCAGATGACGCTAGCAAATTAATTGTAGTGAGCAACATCCATCCTCTACTGGCTTCTTCACTCTGATTGATCTCTAGGAACTGGACTATGGCACGGCTTGCCGCCTCTAATTTAAAAAACAAACAGGTAAACATTACAGCGCAACAAGGTAGTTCCTATATGTACTGAAGTATACTAAGCATTAGATGAACCATAAATAAGCAATTTTTCCGAAGTCTATAATTCCTTAACAGACAACCCATGGAGAAGGCTACTTTTAGTCTCTTACCATAAAATTAGGGATCCAAAACCAAGAACACACAAGATGATCAAGTGTATATATGGTAGCCTAGTATAAATTTTAGTTATTCACTTCATTTATACCCCATCTTTTCTCCCCAGTGGGGACCCCAAAGTGGCTTACAGTGTTCTCATCGCCTTCATTTTATCCTCACAACAACCCTATAAAGTAGGCTAGGATGAGTGTGAGACTGGCCCAAGGTCACTCAGCAAGCTCCAATGTCAGAGTGGGGATTCGAACCTGGGTCTCCCAAATCCTAGTCTGACACTCAAACCACTAAACCACACTGCCAAAGTGGAGCCAAGTCCCCTGAGTACAAT